AAAACTCATTTTCATGCATTGGGGTTGATTAATTTAGCGTTTATTGATGTAATTAAGTAATTTGTGACTAGATACGAGCGAATTGGTGGTGGAATCAAGGGGTAAAGCTATAATTGAATCGTGAATTGTGTTCATGGCATCGAGGTAAGTGTTTGGTCTAACCTTAGCTTGAGGGATTAGGAGTCGAGTCCTATTTGCTATGTGGTAATTGTTGAGTACGACGTATAGGCATGGTGATGAGTATCTATACGTTGGTATCTAGCATGCCCGTGAGTCTTATATTGTGATTATCATGACTTCGTTGTGTCTTTCATGCCTTGGTAATGGTTTCTACTTGTTGTATAAAGTTTGTAGAAGGAATTGTGACCTATGAACATTGAGGAGCGTTGGCTCAAGTTATATAACGAATTGTGAAAGTATAAGTGATAATTGAACCTCTAGAGCATTGACTCGAGTTGTGGAGTGAATTGTGAAATAAAAGTGAGAAAGAGAAGAGATCACTATGTTGTCGCCCTTGCCGGGCTATTGTTGATTTATTTGTTATCTCCCTTACCGAGATGATGAGGTTATTGATGATGTTCCCTTGCCGGGATTTATTTATTGAATTGTTGTTCCCTTGCCGGGATCTTTATTGCAATTTCATTTATTCTTTTGCCCTATTGTTTGTGATTGTTGTTTGGGTGAGGAAGAGAGTTAAAGCACGAAGGGTGATGCCGTGCATTGTTTGTTTTGTGAGGAAGGAGTGCAAAGCACGAAGGGTGATGCCGTATATTATTGTGAGGAAAGAGTGTAAAGCACGAAGGATAATGCCGTGCCACACGATGTATCATTCTGTGCTGAATTTTTTGATTATATGGTGAGGAAAGAGAGTAAAAGCACGAAGGGTGATGCCGTGCACATTTTTATTATATGATTGTTTTGGTGAGGACGAGAGTAAAAGCATGAAGGGTGATGTCGTGCATTTGTTGATTTCTGATTCTTTGTTGATATCCGAGTTATGTTTATTCTTTCGTTTATTTGATGTCTTTCTACTCGGAACTGTTATCTCCCCCACAGCATGCTCCCCCTCCCATTTTGTCTGGTTATTTTTGTACTTCTTTTCCGCTGTATATATATATATATTTGAACTGCACAGGTTTATTTGGTAGTCTGGTCCTAGCCTCGTCACTACTTCGCCGAGGTTAGGCTAGATACTTACTGACACATGGGGTCGGTTGTGCTGATACTGCACTCTGCACTATGTGCGGTTCCCGGAGAAGCTTTTGGACCGTAGTGTGGAGGCTACCTTCAGTCCACACGGAGATCCACGGTAGACCTGCAGGCGTCCGCAGGCCCTGACATCTCCCTCTATCCCTATTTCCTGTTTCATTTTCCTTTTATTCAGAAACAGTGTATTGTCATTTTCTTCAGATTTTGTATGTAATAAATCTTAGACTGTTTGTGACACTGTGACACCAGGTTTTGGGTGCTTTAGGTTTTAAGAGTTGTAATAGATGCAGATTTTAGATATTTAATTGTTATCTTCCGCTTAATTATTTAAAGTTCTGTTGTTTTCATGTTATCGTCTTATATTTGTTTTAAAGAAATAATTGAGTAATAAAATAAATAGTTAAATGATTGGCTTGCCTAACTCACGTTAGTAGGCGCCATCAAGATTCCCGAGGGTGAAAAATCCGGATCGTGACAATTGGGTGGCTGTCAACAACCACCTCCATCCATATTTGCGCTAGCACAAAGGATTGATGTGCTTGGGAACGTTGTCGTATCGTTGAATATCACAGCTCATTATCCTAGTTCATTTTCTGAAGTTCAACAATATTTTGGTAGAATTATATAGGATCTTTTTTTCTTGAAAATTTTGTTGGTGTTTATGGAGTTTGAAGGCTTATAAGAGTTAAGACCGTGGAAGTCTGTTACTTTATGCCCCAACAATAAAGGTGTCAATTTTTTATTATGTATAAAAAAAATAAAAAAAATAAAAGGACTATTTTAGGCTTCTTTATTATCTTTCATTCTTTAAGCAACACTAACCTTTGTGGAAATTGATATAAAATATCTTTCTATGCTTAATGAAATATATCGCGGCAGTCTGGGGAACCTCATTTCAGCCTTGGCGCAACGGTGAAATTGTCTTTGTGTGACCGGTCACGGATTTGAGTCATGAAAATAGTCACAAATGCTTCCATTAGGATAAACTATTTATATCACACTCCTTGGGGTATGGTCCTTGCAGAGGCGGATGCACATGACGAGTTGAGGGGTCACCGACGACATCCGAAAAATTCGGCAAAAACTATATATATACTTGCAGATGTCTTCAAAAAATATTCAGATATTAGCATAGGTCCCCGTACGAATCTTTATGAGCAGTGATAAATTTATATTGAATATCATGGTGCTCTCGCTACCGCCGAATCTTAGGTCAGCCTCTGCTTATGTGAATATAGAATACTTTGTGTATCAGACTGTTTTTTTAGCGGGGGAGAACGCCTTTGCAAAATCTTCATTGTAATAATTACTGGCAATCACTTAACAGCTTTGACGCATTGAATGATGTATGTATGGTTATGTGTGCCTCATTCGTTGCAAATGAACTGAATCCTAACAGAACATTTAATTTGAATTTGATAATAATGAAAAACCAGCAAAGAATTTCGATCAACCGAATGTTCTAACCGCAAGAAAAAGGATAGGAGTTATATATGGGCATGTGAATGACACACCCAAATAAGCCAAAAATCTGTGCCATGATTAATGAAAGAGACAAACAACTTATCTATGTTCAAAACATCTTGCTCAGGCCTAAAAGAATAATGTCTATCATCTACCTTCGAACTCAATATATAAATATATACATAGGTAAAAATCCATTAGAATTTGAATGATTTATTAGATCTATACTAATTTTAAAAAGTACAAATAAATTTAATGCTAATGACTTTTAGAGGTCGAATACATCAAATTTAAATCTTAGATACTATCACCTGAGTGTTATGACAGGTACACTTGGAATTATTGTTCTACCTCCTTCCTTCTGCAGCTTTCTCAAGCAAGAGGAAAGAGTATCAGTTACCTTCCTTCTGCTTATAGTATTATTTATTCTGCTTTACCTGAAATAATTGATGCGAAACTAGTTGAAGGTAATTTAACATTGATTAAGGTTAATAAAATATACTAGCTGGACAAAGGTGGTGAGTTTACCAGCACTACTAAGGCCAAATGTGGAGCTAGGATTGCTGAGTTTTCGGACACGACTTTAATTGTTACGTTACTAATTGTGTTTTAAATTCAATTTTTATACATATTTAATGATGAATTTTTTAATATAAATACATAATTTGGCCTAAAGTGATGAGTTAGTTCGCAAATAGGGAACCTAAACCATTTTATCAGATTTCATTTTATCATCATACAGTAAACCTAAGCGATGCAAGTGCAATCTGAGTAGCATAACAGGATGAATGTTGTAGAGAAACAAAGATATAGCGTACCAACATACAAGTGAGTGGAATGTGAAATACTAAATGACATAGTCCTTTCATCAAAAAATAAAATAAAATTTCCATTAAATCAGTTAATTAGCTCTTAACTGAAAAAAATAAATAAGGACGATAAAATACCAAGATACTAGTAGGG